TTTTCTTTTGCTGTTACTGTTTGTTCAGAGTGAGGACGGCGCTGGCGGGGCAACAGATCTGTGGGCATTCCAGCCACACCACTGTTAGCAATCCAGCTACGCAAGCTGTTGCCCTCGCTCTCGCTCTCACGCTTAAAAGCGTTTTTCACCCCGGTGATATAGGCGATATAGGTACATATATATATTCTTATTCTTATTCTGTGCCACCCGTTATCCGTGTCACTTCTTTTTTCGACACCGGCATATTATTGGCGATTCCGGCCGTTCTCCCTTCGTTCACCTCCAACTACCAGTGATACGGTAGTTTCTTCGATTCCTTGTGTCTGTCCATGATTTGCGGACAAATTAAATAAATAAAAATTAATTTATTAAAAGTGCATTCCGAGCATATGTATGTACGCACATTCCAGCCCATGAGAGCGGCTTGCGTACATACACACACACCTACATCCGTGTCTCTCAAAGTGCATTCCATGCACGACCCACCCCAATAAAAATATACATTGGCACACTCCGAGTGCAACCACAATTAAAATTAAGTGTTGTATTCCTATGCCTATACACATACCTACATTTATTTCCATGCATACATACATTTATTTCCATAGTTGGCCGCAATATTCCATATTGCCAACTATACATGTACATACAATTACTACACCCCGCATAAATATACCACATTCCGTATTTAAATACTGCACTCCATACTACATACATACTACGCGCAAGTGCCATATTTAATATAAAATTCGCGATTTCGTGCAATTCGTGCACTCCAGCCACTTTTCTCGATCGCTACCCCAACTCCAACATTCTCCACTTTCCAAACAAATTATTCGCGACCAAGGCACGGCGCACTTATAGTAATTATTTGGCAATTTCCACTGCCAATTGGCAAATGGGTGTTTCGGTTTTTTGTTGTTGTTTTTGTTCCGTGCATTAGAGGTGGCGCAATCCAAAAATATCGGTATCTGTATATCTTGCGTTCGACCAAAAATAAATAAATAAAAAATAAAAAGAAAACCTTACTCTCATCTGACAATTTCCAAACAAACACACCGACACTACAAGAAATAAATTGAACGATCCACGATTTCTAATTTAAACCGTTTCGTCATCCTTTTCGGATTTGTTCTGTTTTCCTTCGGTATTTCTCCCGATAGTTCTCCAGAGCCCACTCCGTAGTCATATTCTTGACTGTAGCTTCCGGCGACTAGGTTTATCTGCACTTTGTCGATCCAAACCGACATAAAGAGCAAACTATCGCCCATTCCAATCAGCTATCGAGGATATAAATACCATTCCGTCCGCCGTCCATCCGCAAATAACCCAGTTCTGATCACGACTGCGTCAAAGAGGTAAAAGGAGGAGCCCGCACTAATAATATTTGCAAAATATTGCCAAAATCAGTGTGACCGGTCCTTCACTTCACGGTGATCTCAAACAATCCGAGTCGACCCGACTATTGTTTTCCAACAAGCTCGAGGCCTTTTTCCTGACAGTTTTCCATAAGTGGGTTATATTTGTTTCCTGGCGTCTTTCTGTTTGAATTCTACTCAGATCAGTCTTCTGTCCCTCCAAGACTTCCAAATCCGATTTTCTGTGCGTGTGTGAGTTCGCAATATGCCAACAGGTCACAAGGACGGCAACCAGCTTTTGCCTGTGACCACTTCCAACCGGCTACGCACCTCTTCCGCCTCCGGTACTACGCCGACTCAGAAAATCAAGGCACCCCTCACTCCGAGAGCAGCCAGTAGCAGCCCTGCGGCAAGGACCAAATCGGTTCTATTTCCGTCTAATGTCACTCTTAAGGTTCCAGCTGTGACCAAACAAGATCCGGAAGGCTCCTTCGTCAGCAGTCCCGTCAGCTCTCGCCACTGCATCACAATGGCGCAATCCGCCACCTCAGTCGCTCGGACCAAATTGGTTGCCGCTATTGGCCGACTGTCGCAGCTGGCAGAGCGCATCACCGCCGTCCCATCCGCCTCTCTGTCCGAGGTCCGTCGAGGCCAAATCCTCAGCATGTGGACGGACGTCGAGGCCGAGTACAAGGCCTGCTCCGCGCTGATGACTGATGAGGATCCAGAAATCCAAGCGGACATCCATGACACATACGGCGAGTGCTATGGGGTATTTGAGCAGTGCCTCAGTGACCTCAATGCTCAGCTGGCCACATCCACAGTCCTTCCTCCTGCACAGCCAGTCCAACAGGGCGGCTGTCGACTGCCTTCCGTCAACATTGAAGTTTTCTCAGGGGACTACGTCCGCTGGCCCACATTCCGGGATCTGTTCACCGCGGTCGTGATTAATAATTTGAGAAATTCTACTACCTAACCGAGAAGACCAAACCTTTTGATACCAGAGAATCCAAAGGCCATCGTAGAAAAATCCCAACTCACCAATGACGGTTTCGAGTCCGCATGGTTGGCTCTCCGCAGCCGATATGAAAATAGTCGGCTTCTGGTGACCAACCAAATTAACATCCTCCTTTTTGCCCCGCGTAACGTCCGAGTGCAGTCGTGCCTTGAAGGATCTTCAAAGTACGATGCAAGGAGTCCTAAATGTGCTAGCGGTCTCCAACGTCTGCACGGACAACTGGGATAGTCTGCTTGTGACCATCTGCGCTTCCAAATTGCCGAATTTGAGCCGGGCGTTATGGGAAGCGTCCGTAACGGACAAAAAGGAGGTGCCGCCCTGGAAGGAAATCGACTCCTTTCTCACTCAGCGATACCTAACGCTAGAGGCTATCGAGGCTATCCACGTCCCAAGGCGCTCCGAATCCGCCACCCGCCAAAGGCAGTCAGAATCCGCCATCCTCCCAAAGCCAGTCCAATCCGTTCCGTTCTCAAGGCAGTCCTGTTCCAAGGACAGCGCACTCGTTCCAAAGCAACGTGAATCCGAGCAAGAGCACTTGTGATCTCTGTACCAAGGAGAATCACCCGATCCGGTTATTTCCGTGCTTTCTCAACATGTCCGCTGATGCACGTTCTAGTTGCATTAAGACAAAACAGCTGTGCCTAAATTGCTTCGCAAGAGGCCATCAGCTTCGCGACTGCTCAAGCTCCCACAATTGCAACACTTGTGGACGACGACACCACACGCTTCTGCATCGTGGCAATCCAGTTTCCAGCAAGTCACGTACCCAATTCCACATCCGTACCCAATTCCACAGCTTGGCCAGACGTCAATCGACCAGTACCTTCCGCAGAAAATTCAAGTTCTTCCGAACCTAATCCTAACGTTCAAACGTATTGCACCTCCGGCACAAGCTCTGTCCTTCTAGGCACGGCATTTATTAATATTTGCCACCTGGGGAAAAATTTCCGCGCCCGCGCTCTGATCGTCTCGGGCTCTAAAGCAACGCTCATTACGGAACGCCTTTTCAACACGATTCAATTGCTATTCCAACGTATTCAAACACAGATTTCCAGCCATTCTCCATTCGCTCCCCAACGAGGCCGGGTTTACGATTAAACGCCACGGCCTATGTTACCCCGGAATTGGCAAAGAATCTTCAGTTGCATCCTATCTCGCCAAGTTTTTTGAAAGATATGCCGAGTCTTCCATTGGCGGATCCTACATTCTTCGAGAGCTCACCAATCGATGTCCTGATTGGAACCGATATCCTACCATCGGTAATGTCAAGCGGCTTACAGCCCAATATATGTGGCTCTCTTCTCGGCCAAGAAACCATTTTTGGTTGGGTGCTCACTGGTCCCGCGTCCAATACGACGAGCCATCAAGCTGCATCCTTTTCTTGTCGAATTTCAGAGTGAGGACGGCGCTGGCGGGGCAACAGATCTGTGGGCATTCCAGCCACACCACTGTTAGCAATCCAGCTACGCAAGCTGTTGCCCTCGCTCTCGCGCTCACGCTTATGAGCGTTTTTCCCCCCGGTGACGCGCTCTCGCGCGCGCAGACTCACCACGCATACGCTCCCGCCCACGCTCACGCACCCGCTCCCGCAGCCGACAGCCGTCGGCAGCTGACTTCGACTAGAGTAATAATGCGCTTCTTCACCCACAAGCAAACGACCGGCTTTTGCACGCGATTACATACATATATAATTATAGTGAATAAAAACTGCGAATAGACTGAAGAAGTTGGAACCACCACGTCTTATTTTGGGAATTCTGAACTGTGAACTTCCAGACGCCTCTACGCTTAAGTAATTATTTTTAAAATGAACCTTATTATTTATGTAAAGATTTAAATAATTATTTTTAATCACTAAATCTGAAAATTTATTTAAAATAACAAATTAACTAATATAATAATTAATAAAATATTTAAATTAATAGTTTAATATTTTTATAAATACTTTTTACTAATTAATAAATCTGATAATTTATTTAAATAAGCATTAAAATAATTTGTATACTTATAATAATTTATTAATTCCCCTAAATTAATAAAATACTAAATAAATTAATTTATTTACAATAATTTTTATTATTACAAAATTAATTAATTCCCCAGATTTTAAGATTTCTTTCAAAAAAACTAAACCATAAAAGAAAAACATAATACTATAAAAATTTGTAAATCCCGAAATCTAGCAGGAAAAGTCATTTTGGTCCACAGCGGGAAAAAAAGTTAAATTTTGTCGAGTAGTGTTATCAGCAATATCAAGCAGATTCATGTTTATGTTTCCACTTCTTATTGTTCATAGTGCAAACGTGTTTCGTGTGAATCAAAGCAAAATTTGTCCATTTCATTCATGGTCGGGTCAAGCAGCCTAAATATTATATAATGTTCATTATTTTCACTGTCCACTGTACAAATCATTGTTGATCAGCCTTTGTTTATAAACGGCAGCGGCCGCTTTTTAAGTTCTTCTCGCTTTCGTCGCTTTCTGGTTGCAGTTGCAGCTCTAAGCTGGTCTTTCACGTTCCATATGACATTCGTGCGCTGCTTAGCATCTGCAATGCAAGCTAGATATCTAAACGTCCTCAACGCAGTAGAGATAACGCATACACGCAGTTCGTGTTTAAATATAAATTGTTCAATTAGTTTATTTAAGTATCTTATAAATGGTATGAAGTCGGCGAGACAGCAACAGACCTGTCTGCACACAGCTGTTATATTTCAAGCATATTATTTAGAAAATATCAACTAGTATTAGTATCAGTAACTTAGTGGCCATTCAATCAATTTAACATATTGAATTTACATCAATTAAAAACTCCATTTTACATCATCCGAATGTTTCACATTGACATTAGCTGAACGTACTGGTTCGTCTGAAAATAATCAAGATTTAAAAGAAATTGTAATTCAATGTTAAGAGATTCTTGGAAGCAATTGAGTGGTAAAATATTAAATGTAAATACCCTTAACGGTCGTATTCCACAACACTTCAAGATAATATAGTGAGACTAGACAAAAAAATCTTCGCAGTCGTCACAGTAGCAACAGAGAACGGAAGACGATCAACTCAATATGGCAGGAATGAAAGTCGATCAACTGGTTATGGCGGGTATTCGGGAATTCAAAAGACGACACCAAGTATTGCACAATGTATGAGCTATGTAACGTAGCTCTTTATCATCCTTTTGGTTGCCTTTGCATATGCTTTTACTGGTGCTTTGATTTTTCTGGGCGTTCGTCAGCCGACGAAAGCTGTTAGGGAGGTTCATCAGCAGAGCAGAAATACACTTCAATATCGATCGTAGTCAAACGTTTTGTTGTCCGGCACAGTGACTTTTCTGCCATATAATTCCAATCGCAAACTAAAATATATCGGTTTATTACTGTATATAACCTATCGAATCAAATCTCCCTCATATCCGTCTTGCACGGAAATAAATACCATCACATCAACTATAAAACCTTGTGTAATTATTTACGAATCTTTCGCGACTCAAATCCGTAAAAAAAAACGATTGGGAACGCTGTTGTCGAGCCTTTCCTTTGGTCCCGTACTCAGTCAGTATACGAGTATATGTGAGCTTATGATTTATGTGGAATTTTAAATTTTATCTGTTTACATTTTTTGGCTACATCTATCATCGACTTCTACATCTTCATGTAGATTGTATATCTAGACTGCACGAGCCAGACTGTTTGAGCTAGAGAGAGTAGCCACTGGAAATTTCTTTATTCTGGATATAATAGTGATCCAATCTGATCCAGATTCGGCAATTTGGTAGATATTGTCATTCTTTACGATACTGCTATTCTGATTTCTCGTATCTTCACAATAGTGGGTGCCACAGATTTTCGACCTTTTGTGGTGGCGGAAGGGGGCGGGGCGAAATTTTGAAAGACATGGCTAAATCGATTCGGCTACTGATATTGATCAAGAATATATATACTTTATGGGGTCAGAAACGTTTCCTGCTCTGCGTTACACACATAAACTTCGACTACAAAACTAATACACCCCTTAACTCTTTGAGTACGGTTATAAAAAAGGCAGCGAAATAAACTATTACGCACTCCAATTTATGATTCGGGGAAATGAAATTATATTTTTAGATGACAAATAATGACGTTGTTTTACCAGTGGATTTGAATGCAAAAATAAAAATATCGGGTAAAAAAGAGTAAAAAGTGGGAAACTCGTTAAAATTATACAAGCTTGCAAGAAATTGAGCTTAATTGTGGCAGTTGGTCTTCCTTGTTACGCTTGTAGTGGCTATATTGTCTTTGCTTAAACTATCAAAAATTCCAAAATAAACTATGTTTAAAATGGAATACTCTCCAGCTGCTCTCGTACTTACCCTTAACATAAATACATCTTTGAAATTCGAAGCTCAATACTTTGATTTGATCTGAGATACAGGAATTCCGACATTGCTTAAAAAACGAATGCGTCATCAATTTCTGTGCACTCCAGCGACACGTTGGATTTTTATTTAGGCAAATTTCAATGTACTGGTGAAAGTCATCTGAAAATGTTCGCTGGTTGTGCATTGCACCTGGGACTGGATCTCGAGAATAATGAATTGAAGTTGATCCTGAAACAAGAAAGAATATTGATTACACTATAGAAACGATCGGCAAGGCCCTATGTTATGTGCATAGAATAGAGCTCTGCTGCTGCGCTGCCGCTTACGTACACTGTTATAACAATGGCACACTTCCTTATCCACTAAGAACGTGTTCCCAATACATGAAGCTCTCACTCTAGGTAAGGGCGAAAGAAGAGGCCTACCTGCCGAATTAAAAAGGAGCTATAGATCTTATTGTCTTTGAGATCTAGGCGCTCATCAAGACAGACGGGCTATTGATGCTAGTCAACAATACATATATGGGTCGGAAGCGATTATATACAAATTTGCTCAGAAAATCAATCTCACGCGATCACGCGACTTACCAAAACTTTAATACAACTAGTTACGAAGATTCTTATATCTCAATAGACTCAGTGCACTTTTTTGGATTGAATAATAATGAGTATGAATGAGTATGTCCAATAGTATGTAGGAAATTGCTTTAGGAACTGTCAGCATTAGTGTGCGAGAGAACAGATTTGACCCTAATTAGATTCCTAGATGGGGCGACAAGGACGGACAGGTTCCTCGTGACAAACGGCCTATGGTGGCGAGCTCAATCACCGCTTCCTGCGAGTGAAAGCCATCGCCTGCCAAGAGGCTCGCTCAGCGGCACTCGGTAAAACGAGTAGAGTTGATCGGAAGGACGGATGACGTGACGGACTACAGACAATATTTTGTTGTTTCTTTGACAATGGCAGGATATAGCGGAAATTATCAGCTCATTTGTCAGTCGTCGCTACGAGGTGGAAAATAACTCTAGGCAACACGACATTTACGCTGTACGCTGATAGATTTCGGGATTTAAATTTCTTTAACGAGTTATGGTTTTCTTATGGTATAGTTTTTTTTATACCCGTACTCAAAAAAGAGTTAAGGGGTATATTAGATTTGTGGTAAAAGTGGATGTGTGTAACGCAGAGAAGGAAACGTTTCCGACCCCATAAAGTATATATATTCTTGATCAGCATCAATAGCCGAGTCGATAGAGCCATGTCTGTCTGTCCGTCTGTCTGTCTGTCCGTCTTGTTGAGCGCCTAGATCTCAGAGACTATAAGAGCTAGGGCAACCAAATTTGGTTTCCAGGCTCATGTGATATCACACTGCTACAAGTGTATTTCAAAATTTCGCCCCGCCCCCTTCCGCCCCTGCAAAGGACGAAAATCTGTGGCAGGCACATTTTTAAAGATACGATAAAACTAAAAACGCAGTATCGTAGAGAATACCCATATCTACCAGATTGCCGAATCTAAATCAGATCGGATCATAATTATAGCCAGAATGAAGAAATTAATTTTCAGTTGCTTCCCCTGTCCCCCCTCCAGCAAACGACAACACAACTCATTTTCCTTCTCGCTCGCACACTCTGCCGCGTTCAGTGCGCGATCAACCCCTAGCGGAGGAGATGTAGAATCTAAATGGAACATGTACATTGTACAATCTACATGTTAGATGTATAATATACATTGTAGATGTAGATGTAGATATCAGATGTAGCAAAAAAATGTAAAATGTAAAATTTTTTTTTTTTTCTAAAATTCTAAAAAATCATAAGATTAAAAATGTATATACTGACTGAGTACGGGTATAAGTAGAGTCGCGTCCCCAAAAGCGACTCGCACGTTCCTTCTCGTTTTTTTTAATTTTAAAAAAGTTGGTATTTTTCTTATGTTTTTTTTAGAGGTAGTGCTTCTATTTTTCACATAACTTAAGTATCTTATATCTGGTTGCATGACAAACAAATGCAGCTATAAATCCGACCCAGACAATTTGTAGCTGCAGCTTAACGTCTGGAAGATATTAGGCTTTCAAATTAAAATTTCATCATTTTTTGAGGTATTTTTTTTTACGAAATTTTGACTTTAAAAACTCAGGATAAGTCGAAAAGGTCGTTTAAGGCATTGTTCATTAAAATCTATGGAGAGACGGTGGAGCTAAAATTCGTTAACTAAACCTAAAACATGAAAAAATAGACAAAAAAAATACTTTTTGGAAGGTGCCAATTGGGAACAAAGCAAACGAAAAGGGTTTGAATTTTTGGTACCTGAACGTGTTCCTTTGGCATTAAATGTTTTTTTGTACAGTTACTTTTTTGTCGTTGTGTTTTTCTTTTTTTATTTGGTACTATGTTGCTACAAGTTTTTAAACGTATGTGATAAATTTGGTTTTTTACTGCTTGTTACTGTTTGTTCAGAGTGAGTACGGCGCTGGCGGGGCAACAGATCTGTTGGCATTCCAGCCACACCACTGTTAGTAATCCAGCTACGCAAGCTGTTGCCCTCGCTCTCGCTCTTACGCTTAAGAGCGTTTTTCACTCCGGTGACGCGCTCTCGCGCGCGCAGACTCACCACGCTTACGCTCCCGCCCACGCTCACGCACCCACTCACTAGTCGCCCAACATATTTTCATTCCAAACACCTTGATACCGTCGTTCCATAGCTTTAATTTGTTGCTGAAATCTCTCTCCGTGTTCATCAGTAACGTCCACTAGGTTTGTCGGAAAACAGTCTAGGTGGGAGTGCAGGATACGGAGTTTTAGTGACATATTGGCTCCAATTTTTTCATAGTTCTTATTTTGGTCTTGAACGATATTAACGTGATCATCAGAAAATTTGTTGTAACCAGTCGGAATGACTGTACGTTTGTTTTGTATGTTGCAATTCTACAATGTGTTTTCCCTCCGTTGTAGGCAGAGTTTTCTTGAGTAATGCTTAGTTCTATATTTTATATTTTCAAACAATTTAGCCATTGTTTGTCCTTTATATTAACAGCATGGGCGATGGGAACAGACAGCTTGTGGTTTCCATTGTGCAACAAAACAGCCTTTAAACTTTCCTAACTACTGTCAGCAAATACCCTCCAACCTTTTGGGTCATAAGCTTCACCCAGTTGCGTGAGGAGTCCGAAAATGTCGTGGCAAACGCACATGTCATCCTTCGTCATATAAAATTGTGCGTAAACCAAATGACGCGTCCGGAATTGAGTTATTTTGAAATCTTCCTTCCATAAAAGAGTATTCTTTAAAAAAGATCTAAGAAGCTCGGCTCCACTTTTAGGAAGATCCAGGTTTCTCAACAAATCGTTCAATCGTTCCTGTGAAAGAAGCTTGCAATATTTATATTCTCCTGATTGGTCATTACTTGAATCCGTTGTTCCATGCGACGAAGGCGACATATCCTTTTTTTGCGTTTTAGTGGCGGTATTTCATCTAAAGGAGGAGCAGGAAGCGTAAAGGCTTGACCAGGTTGTTTCGGGTAACCCCTTTCATGGATCTGCCGATTACAGTTAGTTTGACTGAACAAAAGACACATTCACAGCCGTGAATCTCTGGTTTTCTGCACAGCATTGGAGTAAAAGTAACTGTCCAAACCTAGGACTCGGTAAAACCAAAATTACAGGTCCTGTTTGTTTCCTGCAATCCCATTTTTGCAGGTGGACCGGACGGTATTTTTTCAGGTAAAATGAGTTTTGAGTAGTTTTGGTCAAACGGCTGCATCTTGGCCGTTTCTCCATCTAATTAATGCGTCTATCTAAAACTAACGAGAAGGAACGTGTCAGTCGTTTCTGGGGACGCTACTCTACTTATACCCGTACTCAGTCAGTATTTACATTTTTGAGCTTATAGTTTTTTTGAATTTTAGAATAAAAAAAAAACATTTTACATTGTTTTGCTACATATGTTATCTACATCTACTATGTATATTATACATTTAACACGTATATTCTACAATTATCATTTATATTCTACATCTCCTCCGCTAGAGGGGTGCGCGTACATAACGAGGCAGAGTGTGCGAGCGAAAAAGAGAATGAGTAGCGGATCTCTTGCCATAGGAGGCGGGGGAAGCAACAGAAAATTAATTTCTTCATTCTGGCTATATTTATAATCCGATCTGATTCAGATTCGGCAATCTGGTAGATATGGGCATTCTCTACGATACTGCGTTTTTATCGTATCTTTAAAATTGTGCCTGCCACAGATTTTCGTCCTTTGTGAGGGCGGAAGGGGGCGGTTCGAAATTTTGAAATACACTTGTAGCAGTGTGACATGAGACAGACGGACAGACAGACATGGCTCTATCGACTCGGCTATTGATGCTGCTCAAGAATATACATATATACTTCATGGGGTCGGAAACGCTTCCTTCTCTGCGTTACACACATCCAAGTACAAACTCCTGAATTACACTCGCCTTAGTATCCCTTAATACAACTTTTCTATACCGAGCCGACTTGAGATTCAAACATTTTCGATTTTCAGCCCAATGTAGTGTACATATATGCCTCCTTACTGAATAGCCTATTGAACCGTTCTTTCGTCGCTTCGTCTCGCGCCTTTCTTCTTTCCTTCACTACATTCTAGCTGTCTCGTTCTCTCGATCACTCATCGCTCTCTAGTCGCAGCATCTATAAGGGAACGGCCAATTCGGCCTGCCTGCCCTAGCATGCCTTCGCAATATTTCTGATCTGGTCTTCTACCTGCCTTTGCCATATCTGATACTTTTATCGTCGCATATGTATATGCCTTTGCTATCGCTCTCTCGATAACCGCGCTCTCGCTTTCATTAGGGCTTTCAATAAGACGTCATGAACCGACCCCAGCGTCTTCAATATGACACGGTCTTGAACGATCTAATCCTGCTAGCTCGTCGTGCCACAAAAATCGCTCGCTGAATAGGATTCAGCGGAGAGCAATTTCGCTTAAAAATTTCGTCGTGACACAGAATTCCGAGCGATTTCATTTTTTTTAGCATATTCATAAACCAAATTCGAACGAGGACTGGACAACTTAGCTAGGTGGACACCTTCCAAGATTAAATTAGGCTAGGGTTTATTTCGCAGTTTTATTAATTTTATCATATCATAAAAATTTGTTTTTAGTTTTTATACCCGTACTCGAAGAGTTAAGGGGTACATATATTCGATTTGTTGTCGAAGTGGATATGTGTAACCCAGAGAAGGAA